CCTCCCTCTCTCTCTCTCTCTCTCTCTCTCCCCCTCTCTCCTGCAAATCAACAGAGGAAGTATTTCTGAAGGAAATGAAAATCAAAGCAGGGAAGGCTAGGCACTTGACTGGGAAGGGGGCATAGAGGATATCTCTGTACCTTCTCCTCAGTTTTGTTCTGAAACTAAAACTGCTCTAAAAAATAAAGTCTTAATTAAAAATAGACTGGAAGAGGAAGGTACAATGAAGATAAAGAAGTTGTATACAAAATACCAAAAGAGAAATCTTGATTCATGCAAACAATTACAATATGTGTAATTATATGTGGGAATTTTTTTCCTCTTCACAAACTCATTCAAGAAGTAGGTTCAATTTAAATTGCAACTAAATAAGTGGTAAAATAATTAAAGAATTTTCATTAGCAATCATGTAGGTTTACTTTACTTCTGGAGAAAATATCTAACTTTGGGACACGAGAAAATGTGCAGCCACTGATTTAGTGTAAGGGAAAATTTTAGGATACCAGTTAAATAAAATGAAGCAAATTCTATTTGGCTGGTTCCAAGTTAAAGATGCCAAGTGAACCATCCTACCACTTACACCTATTGCTTCCCTTTCTTTATATTATCATCACACGCTGACGGAGTGTTCTGCACTGTGGCTGCCACTGCTGAGCTAATACACTGGTAATGCACAGGACACATACTCTCAAATATGTACAGCCGTCCTCACCACAACCTTATAAAATTCATTGTGTGCTAGTTATTTGAGCCATCACTGAGTAATACATCCATTTTCTTCATGTACACATTTAAAACAAAGACTATGTGATCTAACGCTATTCTTAGTGATTTTTATATTTTGAAACTGAAGGCGCATAGGTGCATTCCTTGCAAGCATGTCAAAGTCGCGGCTGGCGGACTACAACTATGACATGCTTGCTACAGCATCCTATATTCCTGGTGTGAGGCATACAGGGTGGGCAAAAGCAGGTCTATAGTTGTGAATACATGAAACACAGAGATTATTTTGTATTATTATTTATTTATTGTTGTATTATTTTCCAAATGAACAATGGTGAACCTACCCTGTATAATCAGAGGGGGGCCTTCTACAAATCCCATTGGCTTTACCTATATAACATACTTCAGACATCACCCTAGCAAGTTCTTTCCTTCTCTTCATTTGAGCAATTCTTTTTTATTAAATTTACTGGGGTGACATCTATAATAATAAAAGCATAATGTGCAAATCAACCGAACAGCCGAACAGCAGAACAACCCTCCAGGTGACTATGCTGTGACACGTACTGGTGCCAGGCCAGCCAAGGCAGGTGCGATGCGATTGGTTGGGGGGCCCCACCATCGCCACACGATTGCCCCACAGAAGGAGGTCCAGGCCACTGGCCAGCAACACTGTGGTGGGTGGGTGGGGCCGGCCAGCAATCGCCCCGCAGAGGGAGGCCCAGGCCAGCCAAGCAATTGCACCCACACCTGTCACGAGGCAACTGGTGGTGGGGGTGTGGGGGAGGCGGTGCCGCCGCACAGATGGCAAGCAGTGGCACGCCCCGCAGAGGGAGGCCCAGGCCAGCCAAGCAATTGTACCCCACACCTGTCATGAGGCGACTGGCGGTGGGGGAGTGGGGGAGGCGGTGCTACCGCACAGATGGCAAGCAGTGGCGGGCGGGGGCGAGGCCAGCTGTCAGCAGCCAGGGGAAGGAAAGCCCTGATAGGCCCTGATCGCTAGCCAGGCCTAGGGACCCTACTCATGCACTGCGGAGTCCAATTGGCTGGATCCGGGCTGACCGGCTCCCCCAACCTCCCGCAGCTCCTTCCCCTGGATGGCCCCGCCCCCAGTCGGCCCCCCCACTCCTGGCCCTGACAGGAGGGAAGAGGGAGCTGAATTCCTCGTGGAATCAGCCATTGGTTAGCTTTCTGCTGGCACCCTGACAACCCCAAATCCTGTTCACCTGTACCCTGGACCCTGACAGGAGAGAGGAGGGAGCCCAATTCCTCGTGGTCCCTCCCCTGGGCTGGCATTAGCAACAGAATATGTCTGAAGACCAACTATTGGCACATCGTACCTCTGAAGCCTAAAGAAGCTGGCCTCGTTGACTGAATGTATCTGAAGACCAACTATTGGCAAAGGCCAGCCTGAGGGACCCCCCAAGTGCACGAATTTTGTGCACCAGGCCTCTAGTTGGTTAATAAAATTATATAGGTTTCAGTTGAGCAATTGTTTATACCTCGGTTAGTCCACCCACTTTTTCAGAAAGAAAGAAAAGTAGAAACATCCATCTTCACTTTCTATACATGAACCTCCTGTGACATTGCCCTTGACACAAACGTGTCTTTTCTATTGTGTGTATTTAGTATATGCTTGCCCACTGACATTATATTTTTTATATAATCACCTAGGTCTCTCTTCTGTTTCTGTTTTGAATTGCAAAATACTTAAGAGCAGATCCTGAATCAACAAAGGTCTGCCATGGTATGTATGTAGGGGAGTGCCCATAAGCTTTTAGAGGAAAATAATGAATGGTTATTAGAGAAATACATGACCAAGCTGTTAAGGGAAAGAGAAAAAACATTTTTAGGATCCTTTCATAATCTACAAAAGCATTTTAAATATAATATGTTATTTTTCTGGTTTTAAACATGTAAGATTCTTTTTTTAAGTATAAAGAAAAGGCATTTAAAAATATTTTATTAAAACTGAATCTTTAGAGCCTGCAGTGGAAATTGGTCCATATTTTTTGTAACTATCCCAATTCTAACAGAGGAAATATCTAACTCAGAGAAATAATAGCCCGGAGAAGTGCTAACACCAGCTATAGCTGAATTTGAAATGGCTACACATGTGCCACATGTGAGTCATTTCCCCGATATATCAGAGTAAGGCTTATAATATATGTATTAATTTTGAGGGTTCCAAGGAAAGTCAGTGTGGCATATTATTAGGTTTCATATGCTTAAATTATATGCATTTTCACTGACTTATTTTTAAATTGGAGAA